ATAATAATTGATATTTTATTCATTTTCGACACTTCAGTGTGGAAAATAGCAGTAACATTCGACAGTTACCCGTCAAATTTTGCTACTATTTTCGACACTTAAGTGTCGAAAATGACCCCTATTTTCGACACTTAAGTGTCGAAAATGACCCCTATTTTCGACACTTAAGTGTCGAATTTGCCCATATTTTCGACACTTATGTGTCGAAAGTATGGGACATTTTCGACACTTAGGTGTCGATTTTTTGCCTGTTGCAAATTTACTTATCTTATATTTTCTCCACTTTTGTGTAGATCGATTGCACCCATTCCTTTACCACGTCAGAAAAATTCCCAACAAAAGAAGCTTTATTGGCATGGGTTCGTGAAGTATGTAAAAGAATTGGAATGGTGTTAATGATTGCGGGTTCGAGTGACGGGGATAGAGGACGTAGGACACTGTATGTGATTGTTCGTTGTGAGCGTGGGAGCCATTATGTTGGCAAGAAGGTACCAGGTGAAGATGATCAAAGACCGGGAAAAAGGAGCACCGGTTCAAAGTAATGCAATTGTCCGTTTAAATTGAAGGGGACAAAAGAACCCAAGGATAATGAAAAGGCTGAGTGGAAATTGGATGTTTATAGTGGTATTCACAACCACAACTTATTTGAAAACTTGAACGGACACTCTTATACTGGAAGATTATCAAAGGAGCGGACTTCCTTTGTTCACACTATGAAGAAAGCAATGGTGAAACCAAGGGCAATTCTAAGATTATTGAAGGAAAAGGACCCGTCTAATGTAACTGGTATAAAGACAGTTTACAATACTATCTCTAAGTTAAATTTCAGTGAATTGTCTGGGAGATCTCAATTGCAATTATTGTTCGTCAAGTTGAAAGAAGATGAATACCTCTCGTACCATAGATCGAACGAGTTGAATGCGATTACCGACTTGTTGTGGATCCACCCGAAATGCATTAAGTTGGCACAGTCGTATCCGTACGTATTCATCATCGATTGCACGTACAAGACCAATCGTTACGGACTCCCATTTCTTGAGATTGTGGGTTTTACTTGTACCAACATGACGTTCTCCATTGCCTTTGCATACTTGGATCACGAAAAAACGGAAAATTTCGAATGGGCATTGCGTTGTTTGAAGGAGGCCATGACAAGTTGTCCTTGGCCTAATTGCATTGTAACAGATCGAGATTTAATATACAGTGATTGATAGGCGTCAGCCAGCCAGCCATCGAGTTCGTTGATTTTTGTGAGGCTGACGAAAGCTCATCGTACAACCGGCAAAGACATGCAGTTCCCCAAGCATACTCGCCGATCCGATCCAAATCAGAGACGAGATTTAGATACTCCACGCTTACCATGTTGCCTGTCTTGTCGCACAGTATAGTACACGAGAGCAAAAATAACAAATACGCCCGAATGGCGTATGTCCTCTTATCAGCACTATCTCTCGTGGTCACCTCGCTAAATATAGTCTTCAACCATTCCATCTTCACCGCTTTCTTCTTGTCTACATCGTCCGGGTACTCACCTAGCATTTCGAACATCAAACTACTGGGCTTCGTTTTAGAATCACCGATCAAACGCTCGCAAGATACGGTACGTCCAACAACTGGCAAACCGACCAACGTACTCACATCATCAAGTGTGATGGTCATCTCTCCAACAGGTAAATGAAATGTGTTGGTAGCTGGCTGCGATCTCTCTATGAAGGCTCTAAGTAGATGGTCGTCCACAGTGTTGTACGATGCTTCTACAACTAACATTAATCCAGCTCTTTGTACTGCCTCTGTAATAAACGGCGTCGGCACCCAGCCTTTCAAAGTTCCTGTGTGATTTCGAATTCGAAATTCTGAGCCGCGCTCTGGCCCTTCGTTCACAATATGATAAGCAATGTGCTTATCAAAATTTGTGTACAATTCCGGTATCTCGGGACCTCGGACCGGTTCGTTGCTCGAATCACCAACTTCTATAGTCGAAGGTAGAGCTGGCACCGGATTCATTGAGGAAGAACCCTCTCCAAACTTCTTCTTGGTCGTGGTCTTTTTCTTGGTCGTGATTGCCTTGCCCTTGCCTCAATCGGATAATTCCTTCCTCTTCTTACGGTTCGAGACAGTCGGAGGTATACGAGGTTCACGTGGTTCTTCCACTGCAAAATAACACACAAATAAAAATAAATAAACATAATATAAACACAAGCAAATGAAAATAGGAAAGAAAACAAATTAATAAATTAAAAAAAAAAAAAAAAAAATTACACAGAAATAATTCGACAAAACACTGTCGAAAATTAGTTGAAAATTCGACAGCTAGCTGTCGAATTTGCAACCCATTTTCGACAGTGTTCTGTCGAATTATCAAACATTCAATTCAAAAATTTCAAAACAATCGACAACTATATGTCGATTTTTGATGAATTTTCGACATCAATCTGTCGAAAATTTTGAAAAAATCGACATATACAGGTTGAATATTGTGAACGAAGAACCGACCCACGAATCTCAAATCAATGCTCAAATCGACTGAAATCAGATGCACCCATTACTAATTAACGATCATTCCTACCTAAAACAACCAAATCCTAATTACCCATATCAAACAATCAAATCCTAAATAAATATTAAACAAAAAAAAATCGAAAACAAATATTACTTGTACAACAAAGACGGCGGCGGCTTGATAACAATGGATTCAGCGGCGGCGGTGTTCGGCGACGTTCGGCGGTGTTCGGCGGTGTTTGGCGGCGGCGTCCGGCGGCGGCGAGGGTTGGAGCTGCGGTGACATCCGGCGGCGAGTGTTGGAGCGGTGGAATGAAATGTTTTTTTTTTTCTTTTTTTGGTTTTAGAATAGGTAATTTAAAAGAAAAAATTGATATAATTGATATTTTGTATGAAAGGTGTTTTTGTACTTTTCTTTTTATTTTGGTGTTAAAGTAAGAAAAAAACTTATAAATATGTACTCAATTGTGGTTTTAAACTTGGTAGTATTCAAGTAAGCAAAAGTTGGGATTTGAAATAGTTGCCCCCTAACCGAAATTGTGCTTTGTCCAAACTGCCCTCCATGTTAAACAATTAAAAAACATCTCAAAACAAAAAATAATTAAAAAGAAAATATATTAATTGGAAATGTCATATTTCACCCAAATTAACCCTCCACTGTACCGCCGAAGTTCACCATTGTAGGCGGCGACGTGGGGCCCGCAGCAGTGCGATGCCTCGGGACTGAGACTGTGAGTAGTGGGGCTAACACATGAGTGGTGATTGTGGGATTGCAGCGACGACGGTTGGTCTTTGACTTCTTTTCCGGTGGAAGTCGCAGGCGGCGCATCTTAAGAACTCCGACGAGCTCTCGTCTCCGGTGGCAGGCGCACGTGGCTGAGGTGGTGCTGGGCTGGATTGTTTGAATTTGTTGTTGTGGTGGTTGTGGGAGGCAACTAGATCAGGCTTGAAATCTTGGTATTGAAGTGGTTGCGGTGGTGTCGAGGGCTGAGCTGCTGGTTGTTGTCTTGCAGCGACGGAAGGTTACAGTGGCAGTGATCTAAGGTTTGGGTGGGGATGGAAATTGAGCTGCTGCGGAGAGGGTTCACCGGCGACGATTCTTGGAAAATAGAACCCGGCACCTCCCTTTCCTTACCTACTACTCTTTTCATGAAATTAAAAATTAATATGTGAAAATCTTGGACAATTTCTTCTTTTCAATTGAACTTTTTAATTTTACCCACAAATTCTAAATGTTGCCACGAATGCGTGGGGGGGAGGGGGGGTAAAATGGGGATATAGGTTAAAGAATATTCCATCGAATTATTAACTATGTAAGACAACTGTCAAATACAGGGGTGGATTTTCGTAATCACACCTTACCTCCGAGGGGGTGGTGGTAATTTACCCTAATATAAATGACAGTGAAGAGTACTAGAACTATATTGAAACGAATACTTTCTCTGATCTTCCCAAATATGAATACAAGACAATTGAAGCAGAAATGATAGTGGTGTGTGTGTGGGCCATTCATTCATTTATATTGAGAAAGCCTCTGAAACTCTAATAAATAAAAATGAAGCTACTTACTAAAACAAACAGAAGATGATTAATATAAACTTGTTGACAGACAGTTTTCTAAAGCAAGGTAGGATACTTGGCATCAAGAAAATCTCTCAATGTTTTTGCAGCTTTATGACCACCCATCAATACTGCTAGCTTCTCCATTGGAAGTTGCACAAATTCTGCCAAATTTTTACACCCATCCATTACTGACCTGTAGTTTGAATCTGTAATTCCAGGTAGCCGTCTAAGGAACTCGACAGCTGATGTATTTAAGTTTTCCGCTCTGCCAACCAAAATAAACTTTTTTCTCATTATATCATCTCTACACTTTTATTAGCTTTCAGCCTTCCATTATTTAGTCATCAAACTCACAATTCAATTCAACATGTGTGTGCTTGGAACAAACATCTAACTTTTACTGAGATGTTTATCACTAGCAATAAGGAACTTACAGACAACGAGAAGAAACATTACGTACCTAATATCATTTTCGATAATGCCATCCTCCGATGGGACACCAATCCTAATTGCCTTGCCCACATCTGGCTCATCCTGGTTTACTTTAAGCATGGCAAATATTTCAGCAGTAGCGTGCAAACTGCGAGACCAGACGATACGGAGACGGGGAAAATGAAGAACAAGCAGTGATAACTTTGACATTATGCTATTTGGTGTAACATCATCACCAATCTCACTTGCAGACTGCACCACACACACACGCACAAAAAAAAATTGTAATTTTATTTAATAACGAGTACTTCCTAGTCATAAAAGCAACCTGAAGTGTATTAAGAACCTGGAATGAAAAGCTTTTATCTTGTGAAAACTCGATCAGCAGAACAGGTATCCGATAGCAACGTGACATCATTTCCACCTGGTGATACAAACGACCAGATGAAAAACTGCCAAAGAGATCTTGTATACTCTTACGCTCGACACATATCAATGGGGATACTATGTAATCTCCTACTTCCAATGTCACTGGTATAATACGCATGCCCTTCTGGTGGAGCACATTTGGAAGGCTGCTCATAAATTCCCTCATGTCAACTATGATCTGGAATAAATTATGGATACAATGTTAAAAAAAAAAAATACAACTTAAATGAACTAATGGTTTCAATATTCACCACCTACCTGCATTTCCTTTTCAGCTTCCTTCCTCCCACCAGCTTTTCGGGTAATCACATTTTGGGCGGCAATTGATTGCGGCTCTTGTGAAGAATTTACGCCAAGAAACTGCTCATCCTGATTGGACCAAGCAACCACCAAAATGAGTATTCATAATGCAATAATTGCAGCAACATACCAACTGATATCATGCTAAAATATCAAATCATTTTTTGACAGTTTACATCAGCCTAGGCAAGATGACAGAATAAGCAGTATCTGAGAATTTTAATAAGTTTATATATAAACAATGAATCTGGTTGCTCAGGTTGAACGTTGCATAACTTGTAATCCGACATTTCTCTTGCAAAATAGTAGAATCAACATTGACGTAGACTAACTTCCTTTTAGCATCTAACATTCACAAATACGAGCTAGATAAACAGAGCATGGATATCTCCATCCATCTATTGGACAAAGCCGGTCCAGTTTTCATTTTTGATTTGTGAAAAATCTTTGACTTGTATTTTGTAGGACTTAGGTATAATAATGTTAGATAATATTTAGGAGGTATATTCTACCTTTTTCAAACTCCAGTTATTTTGATCCTCTCTTTCCCCCATGTCTATACAGTAATAGGATCTTTCAATAAGCATGTCCTACATACCTTCCACCAGTCAAGTACCAGACAGACTCACCAAAGGACTTCCTATCTAACTTAAGGTGATTCAACAACCTTTTTTTAGTGTCAATACAGAACTCATAATAGCTCCCCAAGTATCTGAGGGTTTTGTTAGGTATAGTTTCAAGTTCATTAGGAATAAAATATAAGCAGCTGATTCTAACTCAGAGATAAAATATACGCATCTCAATAATAGGAAGCAAAATGATGGGTCTGCAGAACATCCTAGCCACCACTTACAATGTTATATTCACGATCTACGTGTCTAGAAATAAAATTAATCAAGTCAGTAGAAATGAAAGGCATGAATGTTTGGAACCTGACAACATATAAACTCTGGGAGCATAATGTAAATGTACAAAAGCAAACCTGACAGACTGGTATCATCATAAGAGATTTCTGCCTGATCAGGGACTCAAATGCTCCATTTTCTCTACGTACACTTGCATCGAATTTCTGAACCTCAGTGGAATCTTCATAGAATAGAAAGTACACTTTTAATCGCTTCGATGGATTTTCAGATTTGTAAATTTCTATTTCTCTGACAAAAGCGATGTCAGGGTGGTAAACAATTATGACAGAGGGCTGTAAAATATCAAGTAAACTCTGATTACTCTCCAGGGCATGGAAATGAACTGATGAGAAGGCACTGTTATTTTCTGGTCCTTGATCATCATGCTTTTGAAGAACACATCTATAGTTACCTTCAGTAGCATCACCAAGAAGATGACCAGCTGCCGACAGATTCTGGTCATTTACTGTTTCTTTTTGGTTTGAGTGAGGAGTCTCGGATTGAATACTAGTTTCACATTCACGGTCAGTTTTACCAATCATTTGTTTTTTGTTTTTTCTTCCATTTTTCTTTCCTTTAGCATGTTCTTCATTGGCCCCACCATCTTTCACATCAGTATCCTTTTTTGCTTGTTTACTTATTTCATATGCTGCAGCCATCAGCGCATCATTTTCGGGCTTGCTTATGCTACTAACTTCGGCTTTTTGTCCGGAAACCGACGGAATAACTCCATCAAGAACCCCAAAACCTTTAGGTGCTTTCGGTTTCTTCTTATCATATTTTGGTAGAGCCTGGAGCTCCACTTTGCTTAGCAAATATTTTTCCCATTCCTCTTGCATCACCTTCACAAAAAGCAAGTATAATGTTTCAAATTAGCATATATAACTTAATTGTTTACTGATATATATCAAATGCATAAGCCAAAGGCATTATTTAGTTTTCTTGGATCCTTAATTAAATAGTTATTGCCGTACAGTTTACTGATATCAAGAACCCCGGTGGATAGCTGTAACATTGAAAACCAAGAAAAACATTATCCCCATTTTTCTCTATATATAACACATTTCAACTTCTTAAATAACATTAGCAACATCAGAGTGAGCCAATTGTTTTCTTGGTCATATGTTTAAGGTATAGATTTCATTCTTTGTAACTCCTAAAGTCTTCTAATATCAGAAGCAGACTGTCTATTGTCAGAACATCTTGCAATTTGAATCAGATGTGCACTAAAAAAATTAAGTACACATTCCGAAATGACCAACTTTTTCAGAAACCAGGAATTTATGGGGGTTTCTGAACGTAAACATGAGTTAATTTAATTGATTGTTCAAAACAGAGTGCACTATTATTTACCACATGGCCCGAAATGAAAAAAATCGGAGAGGAGAAAAGGATAAGAAAAAAAAGATTATAAATAGTGTTTAAAAACCTTATGCTGGCCTTTCGTTATGCAATCTTGAAGCTGCATACAGGAATGTTCATCCTTGCATGCCACAAGAACAATTCCATTTAGATCCCCATGTATTTCTTCTTGCCCTGCCATTGATTGCTTTTGTCCCTCTTTTTGTATCTCTACGAGAATATCCTGAAGTGAATACAAATTATGAAAAAGCAGGTTGATAAACTTCAATAACATGACAAAGCTGACTTAATCTGAACACATTTGCCTCCCATGAAAGATACAAATAGCCTGATTGGTTTTCCACACTAAAGCAACTTAATGTAGAAGCTTCACGTGATATTATTTTTTTAATTGGACATAAGTCTTGAGATAAATTATATACATTACTTTTACACCATGACATAAATTTGAGGATCTGAAAGATAAATAGAACTCACTCACTCACACGCAAAACCTTCCACTTTGGTGGTTCCTCCAAGATTTCCTTCAAAATTAACCCACTACTTGCACTTGCTGAAGAATCTACACATTCAGGAGAAGAAAATATAAGAGCAGAACGAAAACTCTTGTAGGCAAACAGTTGAGATCCCATCTGTATGTTGATCGACTGAGAAAACTCCTAAACATTGTCATTCCAAAATGCTATCATGTGATATAATGGTGAAGTTAGAAATTAGAACAAAACATTCACTGCCAAAAAAGATAACAAAGAAAGACAGACTTCACCATCTCCGTCCTTGTTCTTTTCATCTAGTTTTCTCTTCCTGGTGGATGTGGTCCGACTCACTCCAATTGATTTTCCACTTTCTGACTGACCAAAATGATAAACCCGCTTCTTTGCATACTCAAAAATCTTGTAACTGGACTCAGCAAAGATCCAAACAGATCGAAAACTTTCAGAGGCTCTAAGTGAGTCCAGATACTTCAGGTAAGTCACAGCATCATACCTATCAAAAAACACAAACAGACGTTAACTCAATACCATGCATTAATATTAGTATTCGGAAAAATTATTAGACTGGAGTTCACGTACTAATCAGTCACATTCATGAATATCATATGTTCCAATAATGCGTGTGTGGCTATTGTAGAATGGCAGTTAGAAGTACATGGGATACTGTTTTGACTTAGTTAATATATAATTAGTGGTAGATAAGTAGTTGTTAATATTCTCCTATTTATCCGTTTACTGTTTAGCTTCGCAGTTATTCCATATTCTTTGTAAGGCGATATATAAATATAGCTACACTAGTTGATGAAAGGAGATATCAATAGCTATATATTCTTTTTCATTGAAAAACTTTTTTCTTTTTTATATGATCTTCTTTGCTCAAATTATCACCTATCAGAATACTACTTATTCAGTTATTTGTCAACTGTTTGTTCATAGTTATTTGGCACGGCAACAGCATATCACATATTTAGAAACTAAATCTCTATTTTCTGTCACTTGTTATTCGGAAGGGAAATTATGACTTCCATTTACTTCCTCACTCCTGAGTTGAAACACCACAGTCTGTTATGTGCAGAATCTCATGCAATAGCAAGATTCATATTCTTACTAAGAATACATGGTTAGTTTGGCTGATAAACTCAAAGGAACAGAATTCAATTACGAAGAAAATAGAAAGATTATGTACATCTGCTAAACAACGTGCATGAATTTCGTTCTTTAAGAAGTTAAATAGTTGTAATCCTACAGAAAAGTACTCATTTGATACATATAGTTTTCACCTGTATGGTTGTAGATTAGATTATGAACAAAAAGCACTCCATTTACAACCAACCAGTCTTATTCACAACTTAAGAACGGTTGAACGGATATTGCTCAACCTAAAAAACAGAACATAAAACTGAAAGAGTACCTGGAGAGGTAATCCAACAACTTGCGCAACGTCTTTAAATCTGAAACAAGCTGCTTTGTCTTCTTCCCTAATGTATGCCATATAGGATCCAATTGTCTCCTTACAATCTCATCAAAAGACTTGAACAAACCGTTCTCCACTGTCAAATCCTCCACGTCAACCTTGTTAGTCTTCCTCATCTCCTTTAAACATGCGTCCATTACTTCGATCACTGCTTTCTGAATCCCAATCATGTATGGTGACATTGGAACCCGGATGTCTACTACTTCTGGAGGGTCCCTTTCCAAATTCTGGGAAACATACACCTAAATTTTGTTTTCAAAACAAAAATTAATGCAAATCTTAAATACCTACCAATAGCATATATATATGTACATCAAGAAAGCATTTCAAATTCAATGGCATCCATCATACGTCTAATTTGATAATTGATATATAAAGAAATATATGAATCAACAGATTCAAATGATGAATAAGTAGTATCTATTATGGCGGGCCATCCAACCATACCTGAAATCTAGGCCAGAGGTGGAGTTTACGGAGAAATAGGCACTTAAGGAGGCGCTCAGGTTTAGCAAAGCCGGAGACCATGGCGTGGGGGCGGTCGGAGAAGGCTCGAACATAGAGAGAACGATTGGATGAGCGCATAATCCGGACAATGAAAGCCTCAGTTGAAGTGTCGGAGAGAGAATGAGCATTGAGGAGGATAATTCCGGCGATAGAGGTGGTGGGGAGGCGTTGAGTGAGCAAATCAACGATGAGAATCCGAGGGGTGATGAAGAAGATTCCACCGGAGGTGTAGAAGGAGAGGCGGTGATGGGAGGGGAGGTCGGAGGTTATGGAAGATAATTGAGAATCGGTGTCGATGGAATTCTTCTGGGAAGGAGAGGCGTTGAGGATGAGGACGGAACCCTGGGAAGGGTCGTGGAGGCTAAGGAGGGAAGATATCAACTTAGGGAGACCGAGGCCGGCGGAAACCACTACAACGCCGCCGATAGGATCCTCCAGGAGGTCGCTGATTATATGCTCGTGGAATTCTACCATTCCTATTCTCTGTGTCGATTTCTTCTTGGGGGTTTTTTGTTAAATGGAGTTTCCGTAACTATAACGGCGTTGATTTGATTATTGAAAAAGAATAAAACACAAAAACATAAAAGTTCATAATTTAAGCTCCAACCGGGTTTTCCTAAATTTCCAGTAACCCGGTTCGAACAGGATCTGACCCCCGGTTGACCGGATCTGTTGGCAGGAGGCCGGAAATCGAGAGGAAAAGTGGGTGCAATACAAAGGAAAAGCAAGAAGAGTAAAGGAGAGAAATAAGAAGGGCTACTGCAGATTTACTAAGTGAGAGAGAGAGGGAGAGAGAGAGAGAGAGGAATTGCCATAACCAAATAAGAGAGGGAAAAAGGGGTTTTTGCAAGAACTACCCTTGTATAATTTTTAATTGCCAAAAAAGCCATCGTGTTAAAAGAATTAGCAAAGACCCCCCTATGATAGTTAGTCAAAGTCGAAAAACCCCTTAACAGCTTTTCGTGATGTCCAATCGCGGATTGTGCGGCTAGCATAAGTTTTTGGACTCGAAAAGTCAAACATACCCATAAACTTCAAAATTTTGAAATTTATAGTTTTAACCCGAAATTTTATAAGCCCCAAATTAAACATTTTAGAATTTTCAATTCAGTCTTTTTCATTTTCGAAAAGGCCCTCTTCTTCAATCTGCTCTACATCGTCAGTGTTTGCTGCCAACCCATCTGCTCCACATCATCACTGTATGCTGCCATTTTCAAACTCCATTATCAAACAATGCATAAATTTCCAAAAACTAAAGAACATAGATAAAAGAACTTCTTCCCCAAAATTCTTCTTCTTCCCCATGGAATCACCAGCACCATCACCTCCGCCCCATCATTTTCCTTCCACCACCTGCCTCCACCGCTATCCTTGATGCGGACACCCTCCGTTACAGAGGCTAATTCCCCTTCTCCACCGCCCAAGTTCTTGAAACCCCCCTCCACATACTTGGGGTTTTGCTGCAAATGTTTTGCACAATTTTTATTTCCCTTTTTTTTTAATATTTCTTTTCTAAGGATAATTGGGTCATTTCACGTAAGTCAACAATAAATTTTGAAATAAGGGCCGGTGTGCTTTGAAAACCACAACATAGGGGGTTTTTTGCTAATTATTTTAACAGAGGGTGTTTTTTGACAATTAGAAATAATACAGGAGGGTCGGTGCTATTAGCTCAGGGAAAAAGGGGTGCTGGTGCGTGAAGGTGTGTGGACACGAGAGATGAGAAAGAAAGTGGTCTAAAAGGAGAGGAGAGAGAAAAGGAAAATGAAGAAAAATAAATAAATTAAGGATAAATTACAACCAACCTCTGAGGTATGCTCAAATTATGAAAACTTCTCTTTTGTTTGAATAATTACAACAATCCCCTCAACTCCTCAAATTTAGTGGAATCTTCGAGATCACATGGAATATTATCACTTTCGTACCCGTTTTATCCCATTCGAACTCTACATTTTGAAGCAAGATGATCATAATATGTGTTTTTTTGCTTGTATATATATCAGATTGTGGTGCATCGGAAACAGTTTTTTACAAAATACAAGTGCAAACTAGAGCACATTCCACAGAATCTAGATGATTATGTTGAATTTGACACTATAAGGGTAGAGGTGTAAGAAAAAATCATAGTTGAGGGGTAGATGTAATTATCCAAATAAGAGGGGTTTTTTCGTAAATTGACCATACCTCAGGGGGTATTTGTAATTTACCCATAAATTAAATAAGAATGAAATCGTAAGGTGTCTAACAACCAATCTTACATATAAAATGAAGATATTTTGAACTAAAACATAAACTTAAACCTATGGGTAATATTGTAATTTATATTTCGATAGTTTTTTTTTTTCCTCCGTTATTATTTTTAATTATTCAGATTTTTCGGGCAGTTTTTATTTCCTTCCTCTTAACATTTTTTTTGGGTTTATAAACCGTGTCTCATACACCCCATGTTCAATCTTTGCCTTAGAATTCGGAACTGCTCTTCTTTCCCACGATATGTGACTAGCACAATCCATTAAAAAAAAACGATGTCATCTTCATCTCCTCCAGACTATTAAGTTGAGCTACTTTATGTTGAAACTGCTATTTTGCTCTCTGGAAATCGGATCACCAATTTTTTATTTAAGCAGATTTTGGGAAATATATTTTCGCCTCTTTGTCTCTCCATTAAGGTATTGTGAGTTATTCCCTTCAAAAAGGAAGAACGTAATATATTTTTTTAATACACGTTAGAGATGATGCACATATATTCGATTTCTTGTCTTCAGTGGTTTCAACATAATAACCATTAGCTCAAATATCTTTACAGTTTAACAACGTTCTACTGGAAAATGGAGAAAAATTGAGCTACTTTAATGGGCAAAATTGTGCCACGAGATACATAATGTGGACATTATCATAACCATCTATGAAAACTACATATGCCTCATTTAGTTATCAAAGAGGTCGTGCTACAAATAGACATGAAATTAATTAAGTACGACGTATCTCTCAGGATAGTATGTGTTGTCGCACTATCTGCCAGACATTCATCCCCACATGTCATGTCAGAGTTATATAAATCTAATCATATATATTCAGTACTTCAGGTACTAAATAAATTCATCAAGCAAACACCACTGAATAACATAATAATTAACTTAGAACACATAGTGACATAAATATATGATCTAGAGCATAAACTAAACATAATCAAAATACGAATATGGTTCATAACATGAAAGCATATGAAGTAAGATGATTAAAATTCAATAAAATAATAAGCGCGAGTAATAAAATAAACATAATGCATGAAATCAACAGTTCAATCATATCTCAACAAGGATTATTTGGTCAGATGTGCCCAAGTATGGAAGCTGAGTGACGGGCTATACATTGAAAATATTTGCCTCTACCAACGCAGTCTATGCTGGTGCATTATTATTTGCATCTCCAGCCCCAACGTTCCTCGCACTTCAGGTGCGTGACCAATGCTCAGATGCAGCACATATAAAAGATTTATCTATGTTCTGATTTTAAGCTCTATTCGAATTTTAAAGTTCATATACAAATCGTTTATAAACACTTGCTCCTTGCTTCAGCCAAGCGTATTGTCTTTTGGTAATCAAAACGACTAGTCAGGGTATTCCATTCTTTATGAGGACCCTCGTTCGATGAATAGTTCATACGAATGACTTCATCTAATTATCTCTTAATCAGAAACATAGTCTCAGCCTTCTGGGCTTTACCTAGTAAATTATCCTCGAAAACAATCATTCTCAATTGGCCACTAAGCGTATGGATCTTAACATCCATTCTCCAACTAATATTACTTTCACCAGATACATTAAGTTGGGTAAACTTGGGTTTGCTCATGTGTTTTATCTCAAATCAAATACAATAAGGAGTATTATTGTTTTATGGAAATGTAACATCCATAAAACAGTTTCATCAACATTTTCACTTATTAGAACTTATGGTCTAACAATTCATATAATGCATGTTTGTACATATTTATGTATTCATTATTCACGACTTGCAATAGACAAATAATATAAGAGAACCAAACATTGCTTACCATATTTATGTCAAACAAACAATGCGTCAATTGAGAATTCTGAATTAGAAATAGACCAAAGTCTTCATGCAATCAAGACAATGTAAATTTGCCAAACATCAAAAACATATAGCATGCTCAATAATATTGGTATAAAACATAACCAAAACCGTATAACTTGTCATGATATAAATCATAAATAGCATGTATATATAACTCATACAAATTCCACGAACTAATTTGAAATGACTGAGATAGTTAATTACCAATTACCTAAACAGATTCATAATGTGGAATTCATACAATCACATTAGGCATAAGTGATAATACATTAAGAGCATGAGACAAAAGAATATATACCACATTTCATCACTTTGAATCTCAAACATTGATATCATCATATATAGCAAAATACAGATAATCATATAGCATGATTGAGACGGCAAAATTCATGACAATATTTCAAACTTGAACATGCAATACCTTTGCCCAATAATAATATATCATTTCACATGCTCAGAGCAATTATTATATGAAATAAGAAGATATTTTAATCACACTATAGAATAAAGATTACCAATCAGATCATATATTCAAATTATCCACGGTATAAATCAAGTAATGACTTTAACATAAAGTTTATTCACATATTTCATGCCATTAAATAGATCTATCTGAAAGACTTTTATTTAATTTTATGCGGAAAACTTTAATCACAGAATCTTGAACTCAAATTCATCTTAAGAATATAATCACGTAATAGAGATTATCGACATACCGTTCGCCATGGATTCCGATAGAGATGATGAACGACAGCAATCTACAAGCCGAGCCTAGCCAGGCCTCCTTCGAATCTCCTTGTGAGAACTTTATTCGTAGCACACCTTCTTCTCTCTATCTCTCTAATATCACAACTCACTAAGTATTTCTGTAATTGATGGAATTCTCAATTTGCGTCTGATGGTTGAGGAGAAGAGCTGTGGATTTCTTTTATAGACGAGAGAAGAGGGCCACGATTGATTTGTAACGGCAGAAGACAAATCCCACCCATCACGGTCTTTTATTGCCTTCAACGTTACAAATCAATTACCATAAAATCACCTTAATACCATGATTTGAATTACCCACAATTTAATTAATTAAAATAAAGATTAGTGGACCAAAAATTAAAACGTTTTTAAAACGTAAACTAACATTCTCCCACTTGGTCCACTGACTCGATTAAGAAAAATAAGTTTAAGAAAATATTTGACTCGGTGGGTTCTTCATACAAAACATTTGACACGTGATCACGATTTTAAAAGAAAATTAAGGTGATTATCATAATAGGTAAATAGAGTACTTTAATACTAGAACTAGTTTGAGTTATTAATGTGAATCATAGCGGTTATATGATTCATTTATCATATTCCCTTCTATGTATTACGCCACTAATAACCCTTACTATTCTAATCCATAATAGCCCCTTTAATTTTGTCT